AGTGAGAGTTGAAAGTGGGATCTACATCACCCTCTCCCACAGAAACCAAAGTGGCTGGAGGCCACTGCTTTGAAGTCACTGAAGCTCCTGGGGACCGGCGGAAGCGAATTTCCAGCAGGCCAGTGTGGTCCACTCAGCAACCAGCCCAGAGCATGAGTCAGCAGAACTCGCTTTTCAGGGTCAATGTGGTTACGCACTCTCTTTCCCCTACTGAGTATAAACTGAACCACCGAAGTCAAGGCTATCAGGGTCTCTACTAAAAAGGGGCTGTCGCTCTTCCCTCCCTGCTCATTCTGCCAATTTAAGACAAATCAGACGAAGGACCACAATGTGGCCCGTCACTGGCAATGGAAACACTGAGGTGGTTAGCCTGAAGGAAAGAAGGATTTGGGATTTAAAAGATTTGACGGTCCATTCGTCAAAGAGGAGATAACCTTTGAGAGCAGCTGAAAAGAGGGCACCTGGTCCCATCTCTGACCTGGTGCTCTCATCTGATTAACTGGAGACAGGGCAGGGCAGTGGGCAGAGAGACACATAACACTCTATCTTCCTTGTTCCTCTCCAACACCAAGAGGACTCAAAAGTCCATCTTGTGACCACATGTTAAAGAAATCTACACCCTCTTTTGCAGGCAGCGTCCAAAATATTTATTCCATCTTTCCAATTATCTAAAGTCTTGGGTCAAGACTAAATCATAGCATGGGAGTAAAAGAAAGAACAAGAAACTAAAAAGAAGAAAAACTGTTGGTTTAATTTGCTTTATTCCCTATGTACCTGATGGGAGATATCTATCTGGGTTTTTCTACTTATTGACAAAACTAATGTAATGGTTTGCTTCTGTGTCTAATCTCTCCAGAGAAATTTTACTTGTATAAGAGCACACCATAAAAATATGTATTAGTTTACCAAAATATCCCACCGTTGGGTTTGCTGGCTGAATAAAAATATTTCTTGGGTAAAATGCTGCTACTCTCTTAGATCATCACTGAGAAAACAGCCTCTGAAAAGCTAGGTGACTCAGAAGAAAGCTGCCACATAAATACTAATGATAATGATAGGGTGGTTTGCAAAACGTATACTTTACATGTTTTTGGTACTTAATATGTGTTTTTAAAAAAACAAGACCAGTATGTTTATTTTTTAGTTTAAAATAAAATATTTCACTCTTAATTGAGAAATAGCATTTGACCTTTCGACTACCTGTAACAACAGGATGTGTCCCTAGAGACTGCATCAGAAGCAATCCTCCATGGCTCCATGTGACGGAAGCTTCAGTAGTCAAGTCACAACCTTTGGCCATGTTCCCTTCTGTATGTCTACTCAAAGGGTCTTTATAGAGCTAAATGGACCACTAAGTCCTTTAAGAGTCGTTGAAAGGAAGCACTTCCTCCAAGTTCTTTTTCATTTCACAAGGGCTATGCACACACCACAGAAAACGCATTGAAAAGAAGTTCGCAAATCCCCATATTTCAGCTCCGTGAACCCCTCCATATGCAAAATGGCATCCTCTCAGCCCACAAATGTCTTCGCTTTTATTTTCCATATTAACTGCCAATATCTGAAAGCTAGAAGGATACCCGGGGAGAGCACCAGGAAAAAAACAGGTAGAAAAACATATTTAACAAAGAAAAGGTACAGCAGGGAAAAGGAATGTTTCTGATAGAAAAGAAGAATGTGGCCCGTCTGTCTCATCACTACGATCTCAAACAGCTTTTCCTGAAATGCTGAACTCCTTTTTCTATTTCACTCCCATTCTATGTTACAGCTTCTGGGCAAATTGTTAGGTTCTCCTACACAGGCAAGAAAAATGGAATTATGTTTTGGTTGCCAAAAGGCCAGTTCCCTGGGAAGGGCCACAAATTCAAGCCTCTGCTACTTTATGGAATGAGGAGGGATGACAGCTGGTGAGGAGGGCACCATAAAGGCACACAAGAACATCAGCCCCATGGGACTACAGCCACCCTTTCTCATCGCCTTCACTACTGAGAGTGTGCGAATGACGCAGAACAAGCGCTCTCCCTGCCACAGACACGATGCAGAGAGCACCAGCCCACCAGTGGGTCACTTTCATCACCATTGCTCATAGGGCCGAGCAGGGGAGGTGAGAGTGGTCCTGTAACCGCATTTCTCATTCCACTTCTGTTTATTCCCTCTATTGGAGCCCTCTGTAGGAAAATTATTTTCTGTATAAACAAATTCATCAAGTTAACTTATTCAAGGATGGAAATAACGGGTATCACATAACATTTTGCCAAACAAAATTGTCACTGCTGTATTCCAGTGCTTAAAAGCAGACTGCTATGGCAATTCAACCCCAGTACTAACATAACCCAAACCCCCTATTACCTTCATCACTGCATATTCAATTTACATAATTACCCTGCTATGCTATTCAGAATTTACATGTAGTTGTATGCATTCTACTTATCCTTGCTTCAGGATGCTATTTCCTTTCCAGACATAGCAGAACAATGAGATCACAATTCAACATACTCAATTCATCTCACCAATAGAAGCCCTGTAACTCAAACAAAGTATTGGCTTGGTTAATCTCTATTTGATGACCATATCCTTGGATAGGCATCCCCATAGACAACAGGAAAGCCTCTCAGGAATGTCCTCACCATGATTCACCATAAATCAGCAATTGCCTAGAAGAGACAGTCACCAGGGCCAACAGAGGTGCCACAAGCTCTCTCGGTGGCCCCTCAGCGTGGCCTCGTGAGCGTCTGGGCTACGTTACATCACCTTCCTTTTCACTTGCATGCCTCCATACTCAACAGAAGTGTTCCACTCAAGTATTTTCATACCACTTGGGCAAAAATGTATAGGAGGCATCGACTGAGACTACTCATCAGAAACAACAGTGGGGAAAATAACTACTTAGACTTTCTTCTTAAGAGAAAATAATTGCATGCCCTTCCTCCTACCAAAAGTGTGTGGCTAATGCAAAGCCATTTCTCTGATTCAGCAATGCCAACATCCTCCTCTGCACAGACAGCCCGAACTTCACACGGGCAGCTGAGAGCATGCAGAGGAGGCCTGCGCTGAAGGCTCCTCTAGTCAAAGAAGACAGGTCTGTACCTGCACCAAGTCCTAGCACTCACTGGACTTAAAGCCCCAAGTTCCTAAAAGTTGTTTAGCTGTTGAGAAAATTTTAACAAGTTTCACTGTTGAAGACAGCATTATAATATCTGTCCCAATGTATTTTAGGGTGTGCTAAAGTAGGTTTTTAAAGAGAGGGCCAGTTCTCTGTAGACTAAGAGCTTGAAAGAATATACTTAGAAATTTATGACCAGATCCACAATATAGTGGGTTTTTCTTTTCTTGCTTATCAGTCTTTACCATCAGATGATAGGTTCAAAAAATTAAGATAGAAACTGAAGCCAGATACATCTTGAGGCTTAAACTAGTCTTGGTGTTATATTTTTTGAGCTCTCAAAAGCTTCCTTATAACACAGACTCTTACATTTTAAGTTTAAAAAAAAATATTTTTAGATTTTGCTGCACATGCTCTCTCTCCTACCAAAAGCACACGATACTTAGATTTAAGCAACTGTATTATTTTCAAAACCCTTCATAAGTCATACTGAAATTCTAGCCAAGTCCTCCTCATTCAGATCCCTAACATTAACACATTACCTGCAAATAGCAACTACTTAATGAATTATCTCTCTATAATACATTGTAAGTTTAGAAGAGTGCTCATAAGGAGAAAATAATAATGGTTTTCAATTAAGAGACCACATAGTGAGGCATCAAAGATTCCTAAGTAAATGCAAATATTAAGTTGCCTACAAGATTGAGTTATTGAATATAATTTCAGTTCTTTTAACACCATAAAAAGTACTGATGGCAAAGATTTTTAAATAGCTATGATTCAAACTTTCAAAACACTACAGAATAATTATTGGGGGTTGTTTAGATATTTTCAGCAGGAAGTTGAAAACCCAAGTTTGTTCTTTCGCTTTGCAGCATCTATACAGTCACAGAAACAACCTCCTCTCTCTGTGTGCCTGCCCATGCACACACAGCACAGCCTACCAGAGAAGGCTCTGAGCGAGCTCAGAGAGTTCCATCAGGACGTCAGTCGCAGAACTGAGCATGCATATATGCACATGGGGGAGGCGGGGGAGCGTGTTTTCTAATGGAGTTTGCAAACAGGTTCAGATTAACCAGGTCTGACCAAAACTTACATCTGGAAACTATATTTTCTAACATGAGCCATATTCTGAAAAATAGATTCAGATGTTTGGAACTGGTTCAGAACAGTTGTAAGAAATGTTCAGTACAAATGAAAAAAATTAGTCTTCAATGTCTTCTCCTCTCAACTTTTCTTACTGAGTAAATATGCCTTCTGGGGGGTCAGAGAGCTGGCGGGGGAAGTAAGAAGAGGAAGTATGGTGCGGAGAAGGCTATTTCCTGGAACCCAAACTTCATGCTAGCCTCGCATGCGTATCAGGTGGGTACCTGCCATTTGATTTCCCCCGTGTTGCCCACGAGGATGTCAACACTGCCCCTGGAAGCCTTACTCCACCAAGTGGAGGGAATTCATTCTCCTGTTTCAGCTTTTGGGAATCGGGGCTGAAAAGCTTTGTGAAATAGAGTGACCTGTCTTGCTTCTACAATCCTTCCTTCTGGGTTTTGCACTGTCACCAACAATGAGGTTATTGCTCTATATTTACAAATAATTATGCTGGCAACTTGGTTCTGTGTGTTAAATTTTTAAAAAAAATGTCACAAAAATACAAGGAAGTCGTTTTAAAATACTAATTTCTATCTGAAGTCTAAAATGTATTATCCAAATTCAGTAGTTCATAGTAACGGAGTCCCAAATTTTAGAATGCATAAAACCATTAACTTTTTGGAGTGGGCGTCACAGAAAGAAACTCGACAACGCTCATGACCATCGAAGTGCTCCCTCCTCCCTCTCCCCAGCCCCGACTCAGAGGCTGCTCATGCCGAAGCTGTGTTTGCTGGTGCTGCTGGGCGCGGCCTACCTGGACTTTTTGCTGGACTTGGGTTTTGGCGTGGCAGTTTTTGCTTTCTTTTCCTTTGGCTCTTTGGGAATCTTAGGGGCTTTCGGGGTCTTGGGTTCCTTGGGCTCTTTTTTCTCCTTGGGTTCTTTCAGTTCCTTCGGGTCTTTTTTTGCCTTCGGCCTTTTCTTTTTCTTTTTCTCTTCTTGAGACCCATCTAGTGAATTCCTATTTAGTTCTTGGTTATCAACCCCACCAGGGAAGTCCTCTTTACCAAAACTTTTACTGGGATCCTCTGCAACAATGTGGTTGTTTTTCTTCTTCTTCTTCTTTTGCTGTGGCTGCTGCTCTATGGATGGCAGGTAATCCTCACTCTTCACTAGCTGGGTGTTCGGTCCACTAACCTGAGTCATATCCGGCACTGGTTTCTCTAGAAAGGGCTCCGATGGAGAATGCTGAGAGACACAAATAGGAATTGAAATTAGTATATCATTCTTCGTAGTGAAGAAAGGAACTGAAAGTTACAGGCCGGTGTTTCTAAAACGTACTCTATACTCAAGGTAGCACACATTTTACCAACTGTATAGTTGTAAAATGTATCATTTTCTCTCATCCAAAAAACAAACAAACAAACAAAAACACACATATTTTTTTGAACAAGAAAGCTTTTAAATAAACAGAGTGAAAAGGGGCAACTTAATAATACAGTAAAAAATTATTTCAGGAAGAAAAAAATTCTCATTCAGCTAAAGACATTGTCCATTTGCTTAAGCAGCCTGTATAAAAAATGATGAATGACAAAACAGTAGCAAAAACCAAACTATACAGGATGAATTTAAGTGAAATTCTTTTCCCCATGAGGGAATAGGAACTCAAAAGATACCTAATTAAGCCACTTTAAAAAAGAACAAGTGTACCGAGTGGGCACTGCAAGATTCAGGGCCTGTGGAAGCTTAAAGTCAAAGTGTGAACACATCGATCTTAAACAGTGCCGGTCATTTCTGGTCTAAATAACATGAAAATGCCAAATTAAAAGCACAAGTCTTCAAGTTGGTTACATTTCTGGTACTAATATGAAATGCAGATAGTGTTTTTCATAAATTATTACGTTTTACATTTCCAAACTTAATTGAGGGAGAGAGAACCCAAATAGTCCTTGCGGCATGCCTTGTAGGAGATGGCATTCACTAGGTGTTTGCCCAAGATGGTCAGAAATACCACTGAGAGTACCAGCAACTGGGATGGGACGCTCAGCGGTCGGCTGAGATCAGAGTCAGGGACTCCACCTGGCAGTCACGATGCAAACCAGGCAGGGTCGGTGTTACCCCCACGGTCAGGCATGATATCTCATGAACCCTGACATTCCAATGTTTTCAGGGGTTGGACTGCCACTCATTTTCTGCCTTTTTCATACATTCTCCAGACACTCAATAGTAACTATAATGTAAATAATAACAACTGCTAGCCTTTACTAAACAATCTGACTATATGCTAAACATGTGCTGAGTACGCTACACCCCTGACACCATTCAATCCCCACAGCAGCCCCAAGAGCTAGGGATGGACACTGACACGCTAAGATGCAGTAACGAGCTACGGTCGGTAAGTGACAGAACTGAGACTGACATCAGAGCTGATGGCTGCGGAGCCCACGCCCCTCGCCACAGCACCTCCAAAAGAGGAGAATGCCAGGCAGCCCAGGTCCAGGTCTGCAGAGGACTCGAGAGTAACTCAGAAGTTATATTTTACCATCAGCAAGTACTATAAATCAGATTCCAATACAACTAACTCTTATTGAGCATCTATTTCATGCCATGTACTGCACTGGGTACTTCTAGGATTAATTCACCTGAATCTCAGAAGAAAGATATAATTTCCCCCCATCTTTCAGAAAGGAAGTACAGTCCGAGCAGGTTATGTGACCACCCAAGGCCACACCGCAGGGAACAGAGCAGAGATCTGAGACTAGGTTTCCTAAATCCAGACTCTGCCCATCCCTGAAATCGGATACAAGGGTATCCTTTTGGGAAAGGCTCCACAGGTTCCACTTGATTTTCCAAAGAGTTTGGTGACCTAAAATCACTTTTTTAAAAAGTCACTACCTGAGAAAAAGTAGTTACACTGTTTCCATTAAAACCTACCATGGTTATTAAAGAAATCTATATTCAGTTCTCCATCTGCACAAGTACGGGAGAAAGAGCCAGGAACTGTGAGATAAGAGAGAAAAATTCTAGTCTTGGGCACTGCCGTTCGCTCTATTCTCGGGGGAAATCATTGCAGTCATCTGGGGCTCACTTTCTTCAACTGCAAAATGGAGGATTTGGGTCAGATGGAGTCCGAAGTCCTTTCCAAAATCCTCTGGTATTAGAAGAACTTAAAACACATAGTGCCCTTTCGTCGTCATACTGAGAGTGAGTGAGCCTCAAAGAGTGAGGGCATGGAAGGAGAGAGAGAGAGAAGCAAGGGCACAGGTTTGAGAAGAACACGCGGATGTAAGTCCACAGGAGCAGGGTCCCTGCAGGGACAGCACAGCCAACCCAGCCCTGAGGAAAGCACCCTGCCCTCGGTTCTCCCCTCACAGGCACTCGGAGGAAAAGTCCACCGAGGCGCTGTCCAAAGTATCGTTACCTGAGGACTCATGGAAATCTGAGTGAACTGCTTTATTCAAGCTGAAGTTGAATTAATTGCTCCATATTATCTTCTAATGTAGATCAAAGGAAAAAGCCCTATCCTATCCTATATTATAAAGAACTAATATGCTAATTAGTCCGAACAGCCGAATGACCTTCCGGACGAAGCCAGGGCTGCGAGGGCTGAGTCCCTTGCACAAATTTCGTGCATCGGGCCTCTAGTTTTTTTTATAAGGGACATAGAGATCAAACTTATTTGGGACAAGCTACTTTTCAGGAAATGGAAGAAAAAGTATTTCCTAGAAAGGGAAGGAAAGAGAAAAGTCTACTAGTAAAGAATGCATAGAGCTTAGAAGGGTGAATTAATTCTGGGTTTGTGTACCTGTCTTTAATCTGCCTGGCACTGGCTCCCGTAGCAAAGTGCCGGCTTCTAATGAGAGATGCCTGGTACACATTTCTAAATTAGAAAAAGCATAAAATACCAAATATAAAATGACTGAAAATTTATTTACACACTTTAGCATACAAATTATTTTAGATGCTCCCTTCAGTAATAAATGAAGCCATAAATTAGTACCCCTGAAAAAATTCAATCTTTCATAAGGAGGAGGAAATGTAAAGATTAAATACAAAAAATTATTAATCCTGTTTGATATGCAGCACAATTATGTTTTCGGGTGAAAAAGGTGTTCAGAAATATTATAGTGTTTACCAGACCTACGTCTCCTGGAACCTTTTAGAGAAAAGCTGTTTTTGTAAACATTTAACAAAGAACAGATGGCCTGCCTTAATCATGTGTGTGTGTGGGGGGGGGGGGGGGGGCCTGGAGCTCACAGTAATACCCTGACAAAGTCTCCCCGGCCCGGCCGTGTCCTGCCCCCACCCCCTCATGGTACATTCTCTAATGCTATTTAATTTTACAGTGGACATTTTCCCATCAATTCCCACTGCCTGACAGATAATCAATGCCATTAGCATCTGATATTACCATATAGGGCATTCTTAAAACCCCTCATTTGTTAGAGCAAATGTGGAGAATGTTGGATACCAAAGGTATTTTTAAATACACCCTAAAGGACTTTCTGCTTAAAATATTTTCTATCATACATCAATATGACTGCTGGAATAGTATGGAATATATAAGAACTATGCCATGAACTCTTGGAACTAAAACAGAATGACTGATATTTAAACTATAAATGACAATGATCCAAGATATATATGTTGTCAAAAATATTACCATAAACTAAAGGTAATTGTTTTTATGCTTAACTCCAGTTTTCATAACATATAAATTAGACACATACAAAAAACTTATATAAAACAGCAGAAGAGACAGGATGCACATGTAACCGAGGGAGAGCTGTGGTGAGGGCAATCCTTCTGCTACCTTCAAGCAAAGGTGGCTCAACATGCTCAGGGGCATGAGGAAAGTAAGGCGAAGCTTTTCATCTCCCTCAGTGTGCTTTTCGTCCACCATTCGTCAGCCTTTGCTGATTCAATCTTATTTAATCATGTTGTGGCTTCATATTCTCGAAGCCGCTACCTGCTGGCGTTGTCGAGTAACACAGGTGAGCAACATAGCATTAACGGGGTGCAATGTTTCCCACATGCACAATCTCTGCAAACTAACATTTTGCAACAGAGGACACCTACGGACAAACATTTTGTTTACTGAGTGATACAAACAAATCTAAAATCAAAATACTACTTTATGATAAAGAAAAGATAGTACAGCCCTAGCCAGTGTTGCTCAGTGGCTAGAGCATTGACCTGCAGACTGAAGGGTCCTGGGTTTGATTCCAGGCAAGGGCACGTACCTCGGCTGCAGGCTCCCAGCCCTGGTCAGGGGCATGCGGGAGGCAACCCATCAATGTGTCTCTCTCACATCGGTGTTTCTCTCTGTCTCTGTCTCTCCCTTCCACTATCTCTAAAAATCAATGGAAAAAAATATCCTCGGGTAAGGATTTAAAAAAGAAAGATACTATCAACTGAACAAGAGCAAGATGGCCCTCCTGGGAGACACGCCCCTCTCCACAAACTGAGCTCAGAGAACCTAAGGTTCTGGGGCAGAAGGGGCAGGCCAATTAAGACCCACGGAGCAATAAATACAACACACGGAACTGGGATTTAAATGATTTGTAAAAATATAAATATTAAGTACTCATTTAAGATTGAAACTTTTTAAAAATGGCTTTGGAGACACATTGCTGCTGCTGACATCCTTCACTCTTATTTTTTCCAATATAGGCCAGGTTCCTGATCCCTTGACACTCTTTTAAGAAGGAATTCCAGTATGAACACTGAAGCTCCATGGTCAGTGAAGAGGGGACAAGGGTTCAAAAGTGCATTTAGCAAGGGTTCAGGAAGTCCTGTCGAGATTTTAACACCCTTTTCTTGCCAATGACGTTGATAAAAAGAAGGTGCACTCAATATGTGGTGCCCAATTCATTTACTCATTCAACAAATATTTAAGATTTAACAGTGATCTAGGCAGCCACAGGGGCTGCCAGGTGGGAGCAGAACACCTGACCCAGCTGACCCTGAGGAGGCTTCCTGAAAAGTCAGCCAGGTGCTGGCCTGGGGTCCCTGCATGGACCCAGCCTTGAATGAATCATGCCTGAAACGAACCATGACCAAGATTGGATGACTGAGGGCATAAAAATGCACTACAAGCAAGCTTTTAAAACCTTCTTTGTGGGGGATTAGATCAAAATGAGCAGACATTAAACAGTCAACTAAAATAATTTTTAACTTTGATATAAAATAAGCATAAAATATTCTTAAGAGAATCAAGGGTTGGAATATTTTCTGCTTGGCTAATT